CGGTTGGTCAGTAGAATATATTCAAATATGTTTATAAGTAACCCAAGATAGTTCATCTGTGTGTGTTACAGTGGAAGCAAATGAATCATAGTGGGCAGAACAAGCAATGATGTGAGCAAAGCCTATTGGCGCGTTGTAGCATTTATTTGCATATTTCTGTTAGGAAAGTGCGCATGTGCACAAGCTCAATTCGACCTTGCACTCCTTCTAAACAACGCAATTGTTTTTGAAACTTTGGCAAAACGTAAAGTCTATAAAACGTAGTGCACTGTGTTTGTAACAGATCCTAGTTTTGGGAACAGAAACTTTCATTGAAATCAGATGTTTCATCAATGAGAAAATTACCAGAATGTCGGCCCAGTTTCAACTAGTTCCATCTTCTCCCACTACCCATGACTGGACTTCCTCTCACTACAATATTTGGTGGTGAGAAAACGTTCTAAACCGGGGTCTCGCAACTGGCGGTCCGTGGGCCAAATCACATGTGATTTTAAGTTTTCTGAGCTAATTATTATTATTAATTCTTTTAATATAATTTTCATTGCTGGACATAAGACTGTAAAAACATCAGGAAATCAGCTCCAAGTGGATTTAATTTTGGAAATCTGTTCCCAAGTATTCCCACGCATAATAGAGAGACGTAGGGCGGCAGGTAGCTTAGTGGTTAAGAGCGCTGTGCCAGTAACCGAAAGGTCACTGGTTCTAATCCCCGAGCCGACTAGATGAAAAATCTGTCGATGTGCCCTTGAGCAAGGCACTTAACCCTAATCATGTAAGTCACTCTGGATAAGAGCGTCTGCTAAATGACTAAAATGTAAATATGTGATCAATTAATAATAATTGATTGAATTTATATAGCTCTTTTCTACCAACTGAGGTACTCAAAGCGCTTTACATAGTAGAGTGAAACTCACCTCATTCACCATCAATGTGTAGCACCCACCTCAGTGATGCAGGGCGACCATTTTTGTGCCAGACCGCTCACCACACATCAGCTATCAGATGGATAGGTGAGGACTGATATACAGTGCATTCGGAAAGTATTCACACCCCTTTACGTTTTCCACATTTTGTTACGTTACAGCCTTATTCTAAAATTGATTAAATAGTTGTTTTTTTTTTTTTTTATCAATCTACACACAATACCCCAAATGACAAAGCAAAAACAGGTTTTTAGAAATATTTGCAAATATATTACAAATAAAAAACGGAAATATCACATTTACGTAGGTTTTAAGACCCTTTACTCAGTACTTTGTTGAAGCACCTTTGGCAGCAATTACAGCCTTGAGTCTTCTTGGGTATGACGCTACAAGCTTGGCACACCTGTATTTGGGGAGTTTCTCCCATTCTTCTCTGCAGATCCTCTCAAGCTCTGTCAGGTTAGATGCACAGCTATTTTCAGGTCTCTCCAGAGATGTTCGATCGGGTTCAAGTCCGGGCTCTGGCTGGGCCATTCAAGGACATTCAGAGACTTGTCCAGAAGCCACTCCTGTGTTGTCTTGGCTGTGTGCTTAGGGTCGTTTTCCTGTTGGAAGGTGAACCTTCGCCCCAGGTCCTGAGTGCTCTGGAGCAAGTTTTCATCAATGATCTCTCTGTACTTCGCTCCTTTCATTTTTCCCTCGATCCTGACTAGTCTCCCAGTCCCTGCCACTGGAAAACATCCCCACAGCATGATGCTGCCACCACCATGCTTCACCGTAGGGATGGTGCCAGGTTTCCTCCAGACGTGACGCTTGGCATTCAGGCCAAAGTGTTCAATCTCGGATTCATCACACCAGAAAATCTTGTTTCTCATGGTCTAAGAGTCCTTTAGATGCCTTTTGGCAAACTCCAAGCGGGCTGTCATGTGCCTTTTACTGAGGAGTGGCTACCGTCTGGCCACTCTACCATAAAGGCCTGATTGGTGGAGTGCTGCAGAGATGGTTGTCCTTCTGGAAGGTTCTCCCATCTCCACAGAGGAGCTCTAGGAAGAGTCTTGGTGGTTCCAAACTTCTTCCATTTAAGAATGATGGAGGCCGCTGTGTTCTTGGGGACCTTCAATGCTGCAGACATTTTTTGGTACCCTTCCCCAGATCTGTGCCTCGACACAATCCTGTCTCGGAGCTCTACGGACAATTCCTTCGACCTCATGGCTTGGTTTTTGCTCTGACATGCACTGTCAACTTTGGGATCTTATATAGACAGGTGTGTGTCTTTCCAAATCATGTCCAATCAATTTAATTTACCACAGGTAAATCAAGTTGTAGAAACATCTCAAGGATGATCAATGGAAACAGGATGCACCTGAGCTCAATTTCGAGTCTCATAGGAAAGGGTCTGAATACTTATGTAAAGAAGGTACTTCTGTTTTTTATTTTTAATACATTTGCTAAAATGTCTAAAAACCTGTTTTCACTTTGTCATTATGGGGTATTGTGTGTAGATTGATGAGGATCTTTTTTTCTTTAATCCATTTTAGAACAAGGCTGTAACGTAGCAACATGTAGAAAAAGTCAAGGGGTCTGAATACTTTCCAAATGCACTGCATGCCAATTAGGAATGAGGGGGACGATTAGGTGGCCATGATGGAATGTGGTCAGGTCGGGATTTTGAATGAGCACAGAGAATCAGGACACCCTTTTTAACATCGGAAAGACAGCGCCCTACGCAGGGCAATGTCCCCAAATGTAATCAAGGTTTGAAAGGATTATGTTTTAGTCAAATATTATATCTGTTTGGGCTTCTTGCGGTCAATTTGCGGTCTAAAAATATGTTGTATTTATTTTCCGGCCCCCCGATCATCCGCTCAAGAAAAAATTGGCCCGTGGTTGAATCTAGTTGATGATCCCGGTTCTAAATGGATACTTCAGCTTTATAGCCCCTGTGATGTGTCTGGGTTTCCCCTTCAGTGAGCGATATAATCGATTAGAATAGAATAACATGGAGGGAATGTGTTCATTTTGGTCTTCTAATCAATGGATACCTTCATGTAGAGTGGAGTGCCCAGATTCAGGGTAATGAGACTAGACTTCATGTTGAAATAAGAGGCTCTTTGTAAGAGGAGTTGAAGTTCAACTTTGATTAATCTCACACACAGGAACCAGAAAATAACAGGATTTACAAGCAATTTATTATTCCAGCATAGACCACCACAATGTGGACCTAGTTAGGTACAACTGTGCGAAATAATCACAGTTTAAAAAAAATAGCATTTACATGACATCCTATTTTCTTCTGTGCTAAAGTACAGTAAATATATAGAGAGAGACATATTTATTTACTAGTATAAATTGCAAAAACAAAATATTCTCAAGGTGCTATATGACCATTTTATGACATTACCTCTAACCAATACCTCTAACTAATTCTCCTGGATAATAAGGATATCACTTCTCCATTCATGTTCTTATATTGCCAAAGCTCTGCCTTTTCATTTCCCCAACTTTGACATGATCCTTAATAAGGAGACCTGAGTTGTGTTGTTATATAATACATATTTAGAATGGGCGAGGAGCTGTTGCATATCAGTAGTATATAGCATGACCTCTCTGAAGTGCCATTCTTTTTGTGTCCAAGTGTTTCACAGCATAATGTGGGCCTAGTATACTATCGCAAGTAACTTTGAAAATCAGCATGCATTAAACCAAGTGCTGATAACCCCTTACATATTTCATTCAATGCAGTGCAAATAAGTTTGTTTTTTTGGGGGTGAATCACAACAGTGATATAAATTCTGTGTTTTTTTTTGTGTTTCCTCTAGTGAAAATGCTGTTTAGTATGTCCTTCATTAGGAACAACGTAGCACAAGCTTTCAGTGGTGGTGACTGGTTGCATTTAGAGTTTAGTCATTGTCCTGATTTCTAAGTGTTTTTCACTTTTACTTGTGAGAGTCTGTATTTTTTTTCATCACCAGAAGCATGGAAAGTACCTGAGCAAAGCATTTCATTCTCAAGCGTGTCCGAAAGCATGCAGTGCTTCTGTAAAGCTCTAGGAGGCTTCAAGCAAACTGTTGGATTAAAATAGCACTGTCTCCCTTTTTAAATCTAAGCTTTTTTTGATTTTCAACATTTTTCAAAGCTTTTTGTGTTGTACAGTATGTACTAACACAAACTTTTTTTCTGAACAGAACTTGCACTAAAACACCTTCTCTTTCTCTCTAATGGGAAGACCACTGTATGACTGGCACCACTCTTGGCTAAAGGGATTCTGTCTGAGTACGTTGCAAAATAGAGAGTTGGACCAAAGCCCAGATCTGGATGGTCTTCATTTGCTGTTGACAAACTGGGGCCTAGGATGTTCAACGATCTAATTATTTTGTCATGATGTCTAATTACAATAATGGAGGAAAATATAGTGTGATATCCTCTGTCCCATCTTTATGACGCCTAATCTCACATTAGAGGACTTTGATAGGTATTTGTTGTCAAATGTCAGGACTACAAAGCTATAAGATTAACACACTGTGATGAATATATCTGAAGTTAAAGATTACTTTACATTTATTAGAAAGAACAGTATATGTATTTAATACAACCTATCTAACTACATTCATTGTACAAGAATCAAGTCACTGTTACATTTTGCTGATGTTCAGTACCAGAAAACTATATTAAAGAGTTGTCCATTATTGCACCATATTTTTTTGCTACTGTATGTTTCACTTAGAAGCAGGGGGTCATTGTTGTGTATTTGTTTGTATTTTGTCATAAATGTACAAGTTTAGATCCTAGTGACTTAAACAATGTCTTCCTTGACAAGAAAGTTATGGAATGTGAGAGTACAGCACCTCCATGTTATTTTCTAAAACTGTACCACAAACCAGCCTAGGTGAGGTATGTTATATACTCACAGAAACACAGTAGAAGCAGAAATGCTGCCAGTTTTTTTTTCTTTTTTTCAGATAATGGCCATCCCTGCCTGTTAAAATCGAAACTCAGCTAGCCTTCAAACTTCACATTCAAATAGCTGGTTATACGTCTGTCGTTCCATCTGTCTTTTCCTCCCTCTAGCTACTTATTCTATTCGTCCCCTAAATCTGATGTGCCCTCCCTCACTCCCTCACTCCCTCCCTCCCTCTCTCCCTCCCTCCCTCCCTCCCTCCCTCCCTCCCTCCCTCCCTCCCTCCCTCCCTCCCTCCCTCTCTGGTTGTTATGGTGTGGAAACTGCTGACTGTTTATTTCTGAAAGTCTCAAAAAACGCCAGCATGCCCTTTTTGGTGGTGGAGGAGCCAGCCTTGGGCGGGGACAGTCCTTGGTGACGGGGAGCTGGGAAAGTGAAGCCATCCATGGAGTTGGCGCGCTTCACCTTGGAACCCGCCCGCCACATTTTGGACCTGGGTGGTGGAGTCTGGGCCACCAAGCACTTCTGGTACTGGACCTGCAGGGGGCACAATGGAGCCATGTTAAGCAGTGACCATAATTTCCCTTTTCATGTTAGAAAGATCCCGTAAATGAGTCATGACTCCATGACATTCTCTACCATTCTCTGCCAATTCCCTTTAAAATATTAATCATTCAGCCATGATAGCATGTATAAATTCAAGTATTTATCATGCCAGCTTCACCTCTGTGTCTACAGAAGCCATTTTGCACGTTAGTTCTCCATCATTGTGTTTCATCCTTCAGGGTGACCCCTAACTAAGTCACTCACCATGCACGCAGCCTGCACAGCCTCAGAGATGATCCCTGCGTCTGGCTCACACCAGAAAACATGACACTCAAACCGCTGAGTTCCGCCGTCCACTATCACTGCAAAGGTGTGTGTATCATGGCCCACACCCAGAAAGGTCAGCAAACGCACTTGACATTCCCAAAATGGATCATCTCCATCCTGAAAGAGAAATCATAGAGGTAGAGAAAGAAAGAAAGTAAGAAAGAAAGAAAGAAAGAGAGAGAGAGAGAGAGAGAGAGAGAGAGAGAGAGAGAGAGAGAGAGAGAGAGAGAGAGAGAGAGAGAGAGAGAGAGAGAGAGAGAGAGAGAGAGAGAGAGAGACAAAAGTCTAAAAGAAAAAGTGAAAGAGAGAGAGAGAAACAGGTAGCCAGAGAAACGTTGTAATCTCATTGATTGGTCTGACCACTGGTGTTTACAGGTTTCCTGAGTTCTTCTCCTCCTCACCTCTCCTTTCCAGAGTGACAGGACAGTGTCAGAGATGTGGATGACGATGGGCTCCCAATCGTCACTGTCTGAGGTGTTCATGATGCTCTCTATGGCCCGGTTCAGCACCTCCATACCTGCCAGAGGATCCCACATAGTGGACCTTAATACAGCTGCTTCAGCAACAACACAGCCACAGTGACCTCCAAAAGCGAGGGAAACTATGGCGGGCCATGACAGGCTTCTAGTGGTATTCTCTGCTCTTTTCTGTTGTGAGAGAACATGCTCAGAGTGTCAAGGACTTTTCCGTTGTACCAAACTGATTTCCTTGTCTAACTTCCAGTGATCGTTAATCTATGGGCTCATCAGCTCATGTGTGTGATCTCAAATGAGGACAAATGGCTTGTCATCATCACTAAGAACACCTCAGTGGACCATAATACCCCATCTGGGACCGGCTCTATGTCGGTCAGTCAGCTGGTCCAGCTAACAGCAGGCAGGCAGGGCACCTTGATGGATGCTACCGTTTTGGAGCCTGTAATGAATACTCTATTTTCTGACAGAGTGCTGTGTTACAGCGACTGCGCCTCGCCTAGGGACTGCCAACTGACACAGTGACCCTGAGCGCTAGCTAGCCGGCGCTAGCAGCTAGCTTCACAATCACAACGTAACTCGGCGTATTTGCTGATAATAATGAGACGATGTTCTCTGTCTCTTAATTATCCAGACCCAATTTCAAACACGCCTGAGAGTCCTTGCTGCTGTCTAATCCTCTATATCTGTTGATGAGATATTACAGATCCTGAGTTCTCCTGTTAACTCTCAAGGTTGTTATAGGAACGGGAAGATTGGCTCTCTTCTTTCATCTAGTTTAATAAATCAATAGATGAAAAGTTTGATGGTATTTTGCCAGTTTAATAATAGATGAGATTAGAATACAGTACCCATCGCCCTGGAGACGGGCAGGTTTCCAATGTACTGCACCTCAAACTTCTGCACCCTCTGCCTCATTGCATCCAGGAAGTCCACTGCAGCAAAAAATAAAAATCAGTTAGTCATATGATTGACCATATTATGGAGTTTATAAAACCCCTACAGACTGTAACTGAAGGGCTCTGTGGGCTACTGTACCTTGGCGTGGCAGGTCCTCAGGGGAGATGCTCTCCATGGTGAGGGAGCGGGCCATAAATGGGCTTCTAGTGGTCTTCTCTGCCATGATCTGGACACACACACAGACACAGCATTCACACTGGCTCACTCTAGAATGAACCTAAACTACTATGGTGGGCTAAAGGGGTGTTAAACCACTTCCTATGCTTGAGTTTGTGGTTACCTTTGAGCACATTTCATGCAAAGCCGTGGCGATGGTTTTTGCTGGGGCGTTACAGCGAAACACATGGCACTTCAGCATACAGGTGTCTTTGTCACTGGCAACGAAGGCAAAGTCTCTGGAAAGGAACGGAACATAACAGCAAAGATTAGCACAGAGTACATGCACTTATCTATATGTCTGGATTGTGGAGAGGTTAGTTGACTTCCTGTTTCACCTGGTGATCTGGTACTGTATGTATAACAATATAATTACATTAGTATGACTGAGAATGGGAAGGAATTCAAAGCCATATTGAATACATGTGACACATATTCTGCACTACTCCAACATGACTGCGTTAGCCCACTGAACTAAAGCTAATGGTGCACCAGCCAGGATCATCAGTTCGTTTGATCAAGTGCACAATCATCCAACGACTACTAAGCAACTGAGCACTGAAGACAGACAGCACAAACAATTTTAACATTGATACTATCAGTTACTCTGGCTCGTATTGCAGAAGAGATGGGAGGATGTGACCTCGGACAGCGTCCCTCAGGAGCTGATAGGGCCAGGCCGTGTCAGATGTCAGAGGTCTATAAATACCAATGATCCATGTGGACAGACATTGTTCTCAGCACGTTAAGCAACAGGGACAGGGAATGTATTGCTCTGTCACCAAGTTCTCGTATCAGAAAGGGACTAAAGAGTCATGATCTGTAATCACATATCAGAGCAAAAGTACCCAACTGACATTGTACTGTAAACTTTCGGACAAATAGTTAGTTAATGAAGAACTGTTCTGTGTCCAATGTGCAGTTGCTATTTGGGAAATGGCTTGGTGAGTGTTGCATTTAGAGGTGTAATTTTCTCTATTGTCTCCGTGACATCCTCAGTGGGTTTCCCCACTTAAAACAATCAGGAGCAACAGTGCTGTTGTGTAGGCCACAGCTCTGGCGCACCAGAATGTGCTGATGCCTGGGAAAGGAACTCAAATATTGAGGGAAAACACTAGAGTCAGAGGGAATAACAGATGAGCTTCTCTTTGGCATCAGCGGTGGGCCCACAAACAGTAGGGTGTGTGTGTGTGTGTGTGTGTGTGTGTGTGTGTGTGTGTGTACAATATTCTGTATTCCATCCACAGTGGAACGGGAGCTGTTTTATGACAGGTAATCCATGTATTTTGTTCGGGTGTAATACAGTAAAAGCCAGGTGTAAATGGAGCGTATTTGTCACAGTGGCAGATGCGACCTTGCAGTTCGACCCTGGTTGGCACAGCAGAAAGGAAAGAGACTTGGACATGACCCAGCAAGCTCTCCTTGTCCATTTATCTTCACAAAGGCCCATCCAACTGTTGTAGAAAAGCTTGTTACATTAATTTACACATTGATGCGTCCTCCACTCAGCTCTCAGAGGAATGCAATCACTATGGCTTCTAATTAATGCTGCAGTTTGAGCAACATTTTCCTCAGGAAGAGAGTCCATTATGATTCTCACTTTATAGATCAATCATCAGCAGTATTCATTTGGGAATAAGGCAAGTCAACAGTCTGGGATAAGGCTGGGTGGGCATTTGTTGTGAGACAAGGACAGAACTGCTTGGTACACACACTGCATAAGAAAATAACGTTCGATAGAAATCGAGAAAGAAATGGACAGGGGTTTCTTTGAACATGCATGAGAAACAGCGTAGACATTCACAGGGACATTATGTGTCGGCAGAAGCATGTTACATTATTGATGAGGCAACAATATACCGTTTGACTACAGAACCTACACAGAACCTACCGGAACACTGAGCTTTTTTATTGAGACCCTGATGCAAGCTGGTAAAGTCACACATGACATGTCAACAGAAAATGAGTTGACCAAGAAAAGAGTGATTACCTGTTTCTGTTTTCATGAGTGGCATTTAAAAAAGAAAGAAAGTTAATTATTACAACTACCTTAACTATGAGACAAAACGGTTGGATTGCTTCATAACTATGATCATCATATAACATAGCCTACTGTCAGTAAAAATGGTGTACCGCTATACTGACTTATTTTCTGTAGTTTCAGTCCTTCTTATTCTCGAACCTTGTCACGTTTCTTCCTCAGGGCTATTCTATTCTACTGCCAACAGGTCAATGCCTGAATTTTCTCCAGCAAGAACATTGCCAAATATAACTGCCCTCAGATCCACTCAACTCCCAGTGTATTACAATAGGTCTAAAATGTCTGCTACCCTGAATAACTAACCTTACCCAGGGCTGTATAGCCCACATAAAAACTCAATTTATAAATAAGTTACTTTCTTCACTCAATGTAATATTTCCATGTCATCAAGTATAAACAATAACAAAAACTTTAAACACAGTCTTCCCTGACGTAACAACCCAAGAGCATTGTGCTTAGTTGGTCAGTTCACCATATTATACCGTATTTCAACATGTAACTACAGGTACCAACACTGACCATAACAAAAAGAGAAGGAGAGAGGACTGGGGAGTATTTGCCCATACGTTCCCCAGGTTGGCCCACCTGCCGTTGTTGCAGCCCACGCCCCACACGCGGATGTTAATGATAGGCTGGCAATGGAGAAGGCTGCGGTCCACTGGGTCCATCAGGCTGAGGGTATCCTTCTTCAGAACCATCATCATGTCCTGGCCCTGGGAGAGGACAGGGAGAGAGGACAGAGAGGACAGGGAGGACATTACTCTCTTAACCCCCCACCATTACTCTCTCACCCCCAACCATTACTCTCTCACCCCCACCATTCTCCTCATCAACCCCCACCATTACTCCTCAACCACCCCGCCCCCACCTCCCTCAACCCACATCTCACCCCCCCCATTACTCGCTCAACCCCCCACCATTACTCGCTCAACCCCCACCATTACCTCTCCCCCCCCCACCATTACCTCTCCCACCCCCCACCATTACTCTCATCTCTCTCACCCCCCCCACCACTCCTCAGCCCCCCACCATTACTCTCTCAATCCCCCCACCATTACTCTCTCATCCCCCCCACCATTACTCTCTCACCCCCCACCATTACTCTCTACACCCCCCACCATTACTCTCTCACCCCCCCCACCATTACTCTCTCAACCCCCCCCACCATTACTCTCTCAACCCCCCCACCATTACTCTCTCAACCCCCCACCATTCTCACCCCCCCCACCCAGTCTCTCAAGCCCCCCCACCGTTACTCTCTCAATCCCCCACCATTCTCTCTCACCCCCCACCATGACTCTCAACCCCCCCCCAGTACTCTCTCATCCCCCCACCATTACTCTCAACCCCCCACCATTACTGCTCATCCCCCCTCTCTCTCTCACCTCCCCCCCCCCACCATTACTCTTCAATCCCCCCACCTTTACTCTCACCCCCCAATTACTCTCTACCCCCCACATTACTCTCCCCCCACCATTACTCTCTCAATCCCTCACCTTCTCCCCCCCACCCAGTTTCTCCCTCCCTCTCCCCCCCTCCCCCAGGCGCCCAGTGTGTCATCGTCTCCTCTTCACTCTCTCCCCAGGCCCACAGTGTGTCATCCGTCTCCTCTCTCACCTCTCCCCAGCGCCCAGTGTGTCTCGCCCTCCTTCTCACCTCCCCAGGCCCCGTGTGTCATCGTCTCCTCTCTCACCTCTCCCCAGGCGCCCAGTGTGTCATCGTCATCCTACTCACCGTCCCCAGGCGCCAGTGTCATCGTCCCTCTCTAACTAATCCAGGGAGGCTGTGTCATCGTCTCCTCTCTCACTCTCCCCAGGCGCCCAGTGTGTCACGTCTCCTCTTCACCTCTCCCCAGGCCCCAGGTGTATCGCTCATCCTCACTCTCCCCAGGCGCCAGTGTGTCATCGTTCCTCTCTCACCTCTCCCAGGCGCCCGTGTGATGTCTACCTCTCACCTTCCCCAGGCGCCCAGTGTGCATGTCTCTCTCTCACCTCTCCCCAGCGCCCAGTGTGTACGTCTCCTCTCTCACCCTCCCCAGGCGCCCAGTGTGTCACGTCCTCTCTCACCTCTCCCAGGCCCCAGTGGTATCTTTCTCTCTCACTCTCCCCAGCCCCAGTGTGTCACTTCCTCTCTCACCTCCCCAGGCGCCCAGTGTGTCATCGTCTCTCTCACCCTCCCCAGGGCCCAGTGTGTCATCGTTCTCTCTCACCTCCCCAGCGCCCAGTGTGTCATCGTCTCTCTCTCACCTCTCCCCAGGCGCCCAGTGTGTTCGTCTCCTCTACACCTCTCCCCAGCGCCCATGTGTATCGTCCTCTCTCACCTCCCAGCGCCCAGTTGTCATCGTACTCTCTCCACCTCCCCAGCGCCCAGTGTCTCGTCTCCTCTCTCACCTCCCCAGGCGCCCAGTGTCATCGTCTCTCTCACTCTCCCCAGGCGCCAGTGTGTCATCGTCTCCTCTCTCACACTCCCCAGCGCCCAGTGTTCATCGTCTCCTCTACTCACCTCTCCCCAGCCCCAGTGTTCATCGTCTCTCTCTCACCTCTCCCCAGGCCCAGTGTGTCATCGTCTCCTCTCTCACCTCTCCCCAGGCCCAGTGTGTCATCGTCTCCTCTCTCACCCTCCCCAGGCCCAGTGTGTCATCTTCTCTCTCACCTCCCCCAGGCGCCCATGTGTCATCGTCTCCTCTCATCACCTCTCCCCACCCAGCCCAGTTTGTCATCGTCTCCCTCTCACCTCTCCCCAGGCGCCCAGTGTGTCATCGTCTCCTCTCTCACCTCTCCCCAGGCGCCCAGTGTGTCATCGTCTCCTCTCTCACCTCTCCCCAGGCGCCCAGTGTGTCATCGTCTCCTCTCTCACCTCTCCCCAGGCGCCCAGTGTGTCATCGTCTCCTCTCTCACCTCTCCCCAGGCGCCCAGTGTGTCATCGTCTCCTCTCTCACCTCTCCCCAGGCGCCCAGTGTGTCATCGTCTCCTCTCTCACCTCTCCCCAGGCGCCCAGTGTGTCATCGTGGCCCTCTGCCTTGCTGCAGGACGCTGTGGTCATGTCACTTTATTGACAGCGCCAGCTGCTCTTTCCCCCCGGGTCAGTGTCCTCCTCTGATCTCACTCTCCCGGGCGCCAGGTGTCCATCCGCAACCTTCACCCCCCAGCGCCCAGCATGCCAACCAGCCACACCCCACCATGCGCACCAGGCACACCCTATCTTCATGCAGACACGCTGGACAATACAGCCAGATGCTTCCACGGGTCAGCTCACCTGAAAATCTACCACCCAGCCAGAGGACCGACAAACCAAGCCAACACAACCACACACAACACAACCCACACAATGCCAACAAAACCCCACCACACACAAACCCAACAAATCCACACCCCCATGTCCATGCCCCAAACACCAACACACCACACCATGCCAACATCCACACACCTACCAACAACCACATAGCCAACCACAACCATGCCAACACAACCACACACCAGCACACACACACAACCACAACCCACACAACACCCAACAACCACACCACACCATTCCAACAGAACCACACCATACCATGCCAACACAACCACACCATGCCAAGGCAACACAACCACACCATGCCAACACAACCACACCATGCCAACACAACCCCACCACACCATACCAACAGAACCACACCATGCCAAGCCAACACAACCACACCAAGCCAACACAACCACACCATGCCAACACAGCCACACCACACCATGCCAACACAACCACACCACACCATGCCAACACAATCACACCACACCATGCCAACACAACCACGCCAACACAACCACACCACACCATGCAAACACAACCACGCCAACACAACCACACCACACCACACCATGCCAACATAACCACACCACGCCAACATAACCACACCATGCCAACACAAACACACCATGCCAACACAACCACACCACACCATATCAACACAGACACACCATACCAACAGAACCACACCACACCAACACAACCACACCACACCATGCCAACACAACCACACCACACCATACCAACAGAACCACACCACACCATGCCAACACAACCACACCACACCATACCAACAGAACCACACCACACCATACCAACAGAACCACACCATACCATGCCAACACAACCACACCATGCCAACACAAACACACCATGCCAACACAACCACACCACACCATATCAACACAGACACACCATACCAACAGAACCACACCACACCAACACAACCACACCACACCATGCCAACACAACCACACCACACCATACCAACAGAACCACACCATACCATGCCAACACAACCACACCATGCCAACACAACCACACCACACCATATCAACACAGACACACCATACCAACAGAACCACACCACACCAACAGAACCACACCACACCAACAGAACCACACCACACCAACAGAACCACACCACACCAACAGAACCACACCACACCACACCAACAGGCCCAGGAGGGAGAGGAGTGGATGGTAGAGGTGGGAAGGAGACAGAAAGAAGGGAATAAACTGAGACTAGATTCAGACTAGATAATAATGTACAGAGTATAAAGGGTTAAGTGCTTTCAGTATCTACAGTATATCAACATGATGCATCCATATAATACATTTATCTACAGTCCATCAATACTGCTCCTCCCTGACTTAAGAGATGACTCTCAAATCTTTTTAGTGGACATGGTATATGAATTCCTTTAAGAGCTGCCTAGCCTGGACAAAAAACAACAAATATTGATCAACGCTAACATTATAAATGTGGTCCCTTTTAACCCTCAAATAATAAATTACAGAAAATAGTGTTAGAGTTAAAAATCAGCTAAAATACATTAGTATTCTCTGGGGGACCGTAAAAGTGTTTACACCCCAAATAATTGGTATTGGGTATGGATGTTATTGGTCAGAACATGCTGTTTTGGTGTGTGCATAAGAAGAGGGATTTGAACCATAGAAATATAATCTATAGAACAGGCTTGTCTCAAATGGGAAGACCCGTTCTAAGGATTCTAACAGGCTTGTCAAATGGGAAGGCCCGTTCTAAGGATTCTAACAGGCTTGTCAAATGGGAAGACCCGTTCTAAGGATTCTACTGTATTTCTATGAATTGGACAACATCAAAGCCCACTCTACCTTGGAGTCAGGATCCATGTTGGTGCAGAAATAATCGTCCTGCCAGGAGACCCTGTGGGATATTAGCAGAACAGTCAAATGACATGAAGGATTACCACGACGACAGCACAAATTACGCTGTAGCGTTTTCTGCATCCCTCCCTGCCGCCCTGTATGACGCTGTTTGGTATGGTGTATTATACGATGTTATAATCTAGTTCTTTGTTTATCTGTTTGGTATGGTGTATTATACGATGTTATAATCTAGTTCTTTGTTTATCTGTTTGTTTGTGTTTGACTTTGAAAGTAAATGCTGCCTGCGTGTCTGCCATTGATGGGGAAACAGCTGTTGTGTGGGTCATGGATGATCAGAAATAAACAGAGAGCTGTTCTGATCACCTCACGCTGGCTGACTCAGAGGTGGAGTTGTTAGTCATTAGCCTCCCTGATACAGCTGACTGGAGACGATCACAAGGGGCTGCTATTCGTGCAACCAGGGGCCCAAGACTCTCCCTCCCTTTCCATTACACTCTTTGGTGAAGCAGAGTAGGATAGGATTGTGTCCATTATAAGACCTATGCATTTCTTCATGCTACGCTCAGTGAGCTGAGTTTCACTATTCTCCACAATCTCTGTCCATACAGAACGTTAAGCTCCCGTGTGTCAACACATAACCACTGCAGCAGAAACTGTGTTTATTGGTGGGCTCAATAACCTCTAAACGTCACACAGGACACAGGGACCCTCAAGGGGATGCTACAATAAATTAACTCCAGATAACTGAATTATTAAGTGCTTTTACCCTTAAATGGTAAAAGGCAAGGTAGCCATATATAATATTAAAGAACCTACGAACAACCATCAAGGTGATCTAAGATGCATTTGACCTTGCTGTATAGGCGTGTTGGTTGTTTCGCAACAAAACCGACGCGTGCGCAACTATGGGGCAAAACAGACGGGGTTGGCTTAGATTGTTGCCAATGTTTATTGAAAACATAAATACATTTGCACTATGAGCACTTGTTGTCTCTCAAATACATCGTTACAGCTAGCTAGCAATTTTTTGGCCATATTAGCGTAGACATGACATCAGTCAAAACACCTCAAAACAAGACATGGTATCAATAAAAATATACGAGCTGAAACGAGCCACCTACGATTCCCCACAAGGCAGCTCCTTTCGTTGTTGCTAGCGATATGACCGTTCAGAATCGTAACAAAGCAAGGCTTCCGGCCACAAATCAATGCGTATGCATCATTTCCGTGATCTTGTCAGCCAACCCATCTATGCTAAAGAAACCTAAGAACACTGGTTTGTGCCACAGATGGTTAAGACTCATCCTCAGGCACTACATCGAACAGTATTTTCCCTATTCACTTGTATGTATTCAGATCATGGTACAATGGCTGAACTGTAATAATGATATGACGTAGTGTGGTGCAGAACTAGGGCCTAAATGGATGTCCCATCAGCCCAGAGGACTTATCTATTCCTGACGTTATCAGCCCGGGGACAAATATGGCAGGCTTCTGATCAGAACACAGAGAATGGGATAATGGGTAGTATTCCAGGAGGCATAGGGAGGCATAGGGATATGTGGTCTGCCACATTCCCAGGCAAGTGAAGCCATCATGAGCCATCGAGCCATCGAACAGATTAAAAGAGAGAGAGAGAGAATACATCAAACACACTATCCCTCTCGTTTGATTACATCATCAATCAATGTAGTTTATTTCAAAGAGCTCCCTGAGCATGCTGATCTGCAGGTGATAGAAATGTACCTCATCAACCCATTCACCTTGTAGAATAACCTTCATCACACAACTGAAAAGTACTCATTACTCCACCATGGAGAGCCTAAGCCAGTAACAAGGCTACAGTGCTTGCACAGGTGAATGAGTGTTGGTTTGGGTACCTGTCATTTATGGAGGCCACTGGACTCTCTGTCAGCCTTGCCCTTGATCCACGTCTGCCCCCAGCCTCCAGGCTCTGGAAAAGAGGACATGGGTCATTATTAGAGGTGTGATCCTTCCTGTCTGATGGAACCACATTCAGTATAAAGCAGCCATAGTCAAACAGTGAGACTGAACTTCATTTAGACGTTGAAGCCCTAACCTTGATGTCCGTGGCAGCGATGCCATTGATGGAGTTCTGGTCCTCCTCGGCGCTGTAGGACGGGTGCTGCCATTGGGTGGTGCCAGTGGCCACGTGCCAGTAGTAGGTGCCGGTGCTGTCCCGGATGGTGCGCCACCCTGACGGCAGGTCAGAGTCCAGATCAAGGCTCGGGTCGTCCCAGATGTTGTCTGAAGAACACAGAACAGGCAGGGAGCACGACGATGAGAAGGGACAGTCAGTCATCTTTAATGAAGAAGTACTCATGGTCAATATTACACTGCATTTGGTGTCATGTGATGAGGATGACAAAGACAACAACCCTGAGAAATGAAACAGTAGAGTCCAGTCTGTATTCCATTAGGTTCATAATGGCAGCTGGCTCTAGCATGAACACTGCTCTTTGGGGTCCATCGTACCCAGGGGGCTGAATCCCATCGGCATCTAGCATTAGCCTCACCCAATCTAAAGCCTATGTAAGCCCCACGGCTGGCCTTGCTCTCACGGCCCTGCTACACGTGACCGGCAGAGGAGAGCAAAGCTGGGCGTGTGAGATCATCTGGCCACATGCTAAATCTACCAATTACCAGAGTAGAATTCAGAACAGTCTCTCCGCATCACACAGGGCTGGCTGGCAAAACCAGTTTCTGAGGCTCGTCGCCTTTGTTTTTCTCCTAACATTGAATATGCGATGGGACAGAATTGTGTTTGGAAAGGGCAAAGAAGTAAATCAGGGGGTCAATTATTTAAAACGTGCAGACAGGAATAAGAGAAAGCGAGAAGTGGGTCAGAGGTGACACGAGGGCTTTGTACCAAGTGGCACACTATTCCCTATGTAGTGCAGTACTTTTGACCAGAGAATGGCACACTATTCCCTATGTAGTGCAGTACTTTTGACCAGAGAATGGCACACTATTCCCTATGTAGTGCACTACTTTTGACCAGAGAATGGCACACTATTCCCTATGTAGTGCAGTTCTTTTGACCAGAGAATGGCACACTATTCCCTATGTAGTGCACTACTTTTGACCAGAGAATGGCACACTATTCCCTATGTAGTGCACTACTTTTGACCAGAGAATGGCACACTATTCCCTATGTAGTGCACTACTTTTGACCAGAGAATGGCACACTATTCCCTATGTAGTGCACTACTTTTGACCAGAGAATGGCACACTATTTCCTATGTAGTGCACTACTTTTGACCAGAGAATGGCACACTATTCCCTATGTAGTGCACTACTTTTGAACAGAGAATGGCACACTATTCCCTATGTAGTGCACTACTTTTGAACAGAGAATGGCACACTATTCCCTATGTAGTGCACTACTTTTGACCAGAGAATGGCACACTATTTCCTATGTAGTGCACTACTTTTGACCAGAGAATGGCACACTATTCCCTATGTAGTGCACTACTTTTGACCAGAAAATGGCACACTATTCCCTATGTAGTGCACTACTTTTGACCAGGCACTACATAGGGAATAGGGCGTCATTTGGGATGCAACCAGGGTAGCCTGGGCATGGGTGTCTCTCTCTCAGCAGCATGCCACAGTGTCTCTGTGTTAACACGGAACGAGAGAGAAAGAGAGGCTAAATCAAATTTAGGCTAAATCAAAGAGAGGCTAAATCAAATAGAGTGTAAATCAAAGAAAGTCTCAATCAAAGAGACTTTCTTTGCCAGTTTTTCTTTAAGTCTGGTATGTCATTTGTTGCTTGACCCAAATTAATTTGACATGATTTCATCAGTGGTGGAAAAAGTACCAAATTGTCATACTTGAGTAAAAGTAAAGATAACCTTAATAGAAAATGACTCTAGTAAAAGTGAAAGTCAGCCAGTAAAATACTAATTGAGTAAAAGTTTTTTTACTTAAGTACTTTACACCACTGGATTTTCTGCCTTGTACATCTCATCCCCATTCATCGCGCTGTTTAACCCTGGTCACCCCTGTGTCTGACAATGAAAAACAACGCCACGCATCCCTGGAATAGACAGCATGAGAAGATTAGACCCAGGAACAGATCAGCTGAACCCTGTTACAGGGAGAGAAAATCAATAAGAGACAGCAGTGTTAGAGAGAGATGGAGGCAGAACTCTCCAGGCTTTATCAGGGGGTTTATAGGCAAGCAGGCAGGCAGGCAGGTGGGCAGGCAGGCAGGCAGGCAGGCAGGCGGGCAGGCAGGCAGGCAGGCAGGCAGGCAGGCAGGCAGGCAGGCAGGCAGGCAGGCAGGCAGGCCTCCTGGGCATGGGGCTAAGGACTGGGCCAGGCTCTGGATGACACCACTATTCAGCCCATTTGACAGGCTGATTGATGGGCCAATCAGTGCAGCATCTCCGGGGGATGAAGAAGCTGTGTGCATAATTACAATTCATCCCAGCCCTGAGAACATGGCCACTAGAGGAGACAATTTGGCAGAGTTCTCCCACCTTAGCCTGCCTTCTCCCACAGATTTCTCCCACCCACCTTAGCCTGCCTTCTCCCACAGAGTTCTCCCATTTTAGCCAGCCTTCTCCCACAGCGTTCTCCTAATGTAGCCTGCCTTCTCCCATTTTTTTTAAACCAATGAGTCATACAGGGAGGGATTCTAAGAACTAGCATCAGTGAGCCACAGTAATGCATGACAGTTCTAAAGGAATGGATATTTTCTGCTTTAAAACATTATTGTACATTTCAGTCCAATGGGCCTACTAAGTATACTTGTCACCAACCATTACTGTATATTACAATGGCTGAGGCTGTCACTGGTCATACCAGAGTAGATTAGAGCCTTGACTCCTAATTCTGCTGCTTGAGATCGGAACAATGGCTCTGAGTCTGTGTGATGTAGCCTAGTACTAATCCGGGGTCTGTGTGATGTAGCCTAGTCCTAATCCTGAGTCTGTGAGATGTAGCCTAGTCCTAATCCGGGGTCTGTGTGATGTAGCCTAGTCCTAATCCTGAGTCTGTGTGATGTAGCCTAGTCCTAATCCTGAGTCTGTGTGATGTAGCCTAGTCCTAATCCTGAGTCTGTGTGATGTAGCCTAGTACTAATCCTGAGTCTGTGTGATGTAGCCTAGTCCTAATCCTGAGTCTGTGTGATATAGCCTAGTACTAATCCTGAGTCTGTGTGATGTAGCCTAGTCCTAATCCTGAGTCTGTGTGATGTAGCCTAGTCCTAATCCTGAGTCTGTGTGATATAGCCTAGTCCTAATCCTGAGTCTGTGTGATATGTAGCCTAGTCCTAATCCTGAGTCTGTTTTGATGTAGCCTAGTCCTAATCCCCTGAGTCTGTGTGATGTCAGCCCTAGTTACCTTAATCCTGAGTCTGTGTGATGTAGCCTAGTCCTAATCCTGAGTCTGTTGAGCTAGCCAATCCTGAGTCTGGTGATGTACCTAGTCTAATCCTGAGTCTGTGTGATGTACCTAGTCCTAATCCGATCTTTGATATAGCCAAGTACTATCCTGAGTCTGTGGATGTAGCTAGCCTATCTGATTGTTGATTACCTAGTCCTAATCCTGAGTCGTTGATATGCCGTCCAATCCTGGTCTTGTGTATGTAGCCTAGTCCTATCTGAGTCTGTGTGATGTACCAGTCCTAATCCTGGTCTGTGTGATGACCTAGTCCTAATCCTGAGTCTGTTGATTAGCCTAGTCCTAATCCTGGTCTGCTGATGATCATGCTACGTACCTAATCCGAGTCTGTGTGATTAGCCTAGTCTAATCTGAGTCGTGTGATTGCTATCCTAATCCTGAGTCTGTGTGATGTAGCTAGTCCTAATCGATCTGGGTGATGTAGCCTAGTCTAATCCTGAGTCTTGTTACTGCTAACGAGTCGTTACTAGTCCTAATCCTGAGTCTGTGTGATGAACTGCTATCCTGAGTAGTGTATACCAGTCTAATCCACTGTGGTGACAGCCCTTATGATCCTGTGGTATGTATCTACACTGGGTCTTACTGCCTAACTGGTCTTACTGTACCCTGTCCTATCTGCTACCTGGTTATTACTGCTACCTGGTCTTCTGCTTAGCATAGTTCCTAACTCACTGGGTTGTACGCTAACGGGTTGTTTACCTTGCTACCGAGTTTTATTGCACACGTTCTACTGCTACACTGGTCTACTGCACACTAGTTCTTACTGCTACACTGGTTCTACTGCTACCTGGGTTTTACTGCTACACTGCTTACTGCTACACTGATTCTTACTGCTACGGAGTTCTTACTGCTACACTGGGTTCTTACTGCATAACTGGTTCCTTACTGCTACACTGGAGTTCTACTGCTACACTGGGTATTACTGCTACCGGGTTCTACTGCTACACTGGGTTCTACTGCTACATGGGTTGTCACTGGCTACACTGAGTTGTTACTGCTAAACTGGGTTCTTCTGCTACACTGGGTTTCTTACTGCTACGCTGGGTCCTACTGCTACACTGAGTTCTTACTGTTACACTGGGTTCTTATTGCTACACTGGGTTCTACTGCTACACTGGGTTCTTACTGCTACGCTGGGTTCTTACTGCTACACTGGGTTATTACTGCTACGCTGGGTTCTTACTGCTATGCTGGGTACTTACTGCTACACTGGGTTCCTACTGCTAACTGGGATCTTACTGCTACGCTGGGTTCTTACCGCTACACTGGGTTCTTACTGCTACGCTGGGTTCTTACTGCTACACTTCTTACTGCTACACTGAGTTCTTACTGCTACACTGGGTTCTTACTGCTACACTGGGTTATTACTGCTACACTGGGTTCTTACTGCTACACTGGGTTCTTACTGCTACACTGGGTACTTACTGCTACACTGGGTTCCTACTGCTACACTGGGTTCTTACTGCTACCTGGTTTCTTACCGCTACACTGGGTTCTTACTGCTACACTGGGTTCTGACTTGCTACACTGGTTCTTACTGCTACACTGGGTTCTTACTGCTACTGGTTTACTGCTACACTGGGTTCTTACTGCAACACTGCGTTTACTGTACACTCGGGTTATTACTGCTACACGCGTTCTACTGCTACACTGAGTTTCTTATGCTACGCTGGGTCTTACTGCTACTACTACATTGGTTTACTGCTACACTGGAGTTCTTACTGCTTACAACTGGTTTCTTACTCTACACTGGGTTCTTACTGCTACTGCGGTTCTTAACTGCTACACTGGGTTCTTACTGCATACACTGCTTACTGCTACACTGGGTTTTTACTG